AAACTGTTTGTCCAGATAAACCTTAAGTGTTTGATCAACAATATGATCTATGTGTAACAGATCTCTACAAGTCTCACAACAAACAATCCCCTCCAATATTTGTACAGCATATAGTAAACTTCAAATCAGTGTTTTACTAAGCCAAGTTTTACAGACAAATACAGGCTGGCCCCCCTACCAAAATGAGGAATATCTTCAATATTTCCATAAAAATATTATTTTCCCAATTCCCAATTCATGTAGGAAGAGGCTGCTGTTAAGTTTAGGTATAAAAACCACAGTCAAATACTAACCCTCATTCCTGAATCCTGTTGCAGGATATACATGGATGTAATTCAGAATTAAAATGCTGATCATGTGTGAAAAATATGTGATATGTGGAAAATGGAACCTTTCTTTAATTGGAAATGATAGGTTAGCTTAATAACATTATTTTCAAATATTTTTACCTGGCTCCATAATCTTGGATTTGCTTGTTTTGTAATTCAACAGGAGTTCCATTACTTTCAACTAACGATGTATCATAAATTGCATTGCTCATTTTCTATGTTTTAATCGTTTTGTGGGGAAAAAGACTCAAGACTAGAATTTAGACATGAAAATTAATGGTGTCAGGGGGAAAAGATATGCATTTTGAATATGGATTTTAGCGGCGTAGGGCGAACGTTTGCCTGGGCTAAATTTCCCGATATTCAGTATTTTGTCTTGTTGCAATCGGTCATTTTTGTTGAATGACCTGCATTATCTTTATCATTATAGGTAAAAATACTGCAAACAAAAAAAGCAAATCTAGATTATGTGTTGACTGTCACCATCATTGTCAATAAAATCAATAACACTGAGTTGCATCTTTTTAAGTGTTGAACTCTAGCTGAATGTAGTGCCAGTCTGCCCTCCCCAAAGCGAGCCTGTACCCTGTCACTTCGAGACAATGGCCACCGCCTCCCGTCACACAGAACCGTTCATACCTTTGTTAGCACTGTAGGAACAGGTAGACATAAGTTAGATATTATCCATCAGACAGACAGTGTCTATTAACCACCTAGTGTACAGGTATTATCAGTCTGGGACGAGATGTTGCAGATAAATTATCTAAACATCACTCGTTTCTCAATCAGGGTATGTAAGGTGTTACATGTATTTAACATAAAAAATTACAGTGACTCTTTCTTTTATCATAACCTCGTCAATTTCTGAACATGTCTCCGTAAAGTCCCTACATCGCATATTTCTTGTGGGTATAGTCTGAGGTTGCTTCAGTTGACCATTTACTTTTAACAGTTTTAGAAGACAAATCATATAATTTTTCCTGAGTGTTGGAGAGTCAAAACATCTGTCAAATAGACCTGTCCTTTAGAATTTATGAGTCGAATCTCATAATGGGGAGTTAGATAGTGGAGGGGGCCTACTGAAAGCCCTGTTGCTGTACATCATGGTCCATTATATCACGATGAAGAAGTTTACAACTGGGGGGCTAAACAAGCCATGTAGACACACTTACAAACCCTAGCTAGGACTTAATTCTTCCATCTACAGGACATGTCCCCAAATAGACCCTCATTACGACCACCTTACACATTTCCTATGGGTATAGTACATCATGGTTCATTATATAAAGCTGATGACACCTAACTGGCTAAACAAGCCAGGTAAACAGTCACACAAGATAATGATGTGGAGGACAAATATAGATAGCATTGTTATACAAGCTCAAGTTTTGTCCACATTTTATTTTTGTTCATCTTCTTTTGAAATTGTTCTTATTATATATAGCCCTTCCCATATTTAGATCAGTTGATAGCGTGTAAGGGGTACGGGTCACTGCACAGGTATATCACGAGTGATAAAATGTGCTAATTACATACCCAGGTATACAACTTTTATCTACGGAGATTCAGGATGAGGATTGGAGATATGTATGGGGATCCCTCTTTTGTCATCCTCTATTAGCTTAATGGAGTGGACATAAGGATGAGATTCTAGGTTAGGAGCCACCAGCGCTGTGTGTAAATAGCCATTGGATATTGTATATGGACACTGTTAGTGGTTCTGAACTAGGAATTAGTTGTCATTGTTTGATCCTTCCTCAATAGATTATTATACAGTATATAGACATTGTCTGATACTTCCTCAATAGATTATTATACAGTGTAAAGACATTGTCTGATCCTTCCTCATCGATTATTATACAGTATATAGACATTTTCTGATCCTTCCTCAATAGATTATTATACAGTGTAAAGACATTGTCTGATCCTGCCTCAATAGATTATTATACAGTATAGACATTGTCTGATTCTTCCTCAATAGATTATTATACAGTGTAAAGACATTGTCTGATCCTTCCTCAACAGATTATTATACAGCATATAGACATTGTCTGATACTTCCTCAATAGATTATTATACAGTGTAAAGACATTGTCTGATCCTTCCTCAACAGATTATTATACAGCATATAGACATTGTCTGATACTTCCTCAATAGATTATTATACAGTGTAAAGACATTGTCTGATCCTTCCTCAACAGATTATTATACAGCATATAGACATTGTCTGATACTTCCTCAATAGATTATTATACAGTGTAAAGACATAGTCTGATCCTTCCTCAATAGATTGTTTTACAGTATATAGACATTGTCTGATACTTCCTCAATAGATTATTTTACAGTATATAGACATTGTCTGATACTTCCTCAATAGATTATTATACAGTATATAGACATTGTTGGTGGTTCAAATTCCTAACTTGCAGTTGATACCATTGTCCCAATAAATCTCCATAATCAATACTATATAAAGATGTAACTTGGGAATATTACACACGCCATTAAGACCTCCTGTCTATCACTACAATATATATAATAGGCCATCATTTAGATAATTCCAACATTGCCGTTTATCGTAATGATAAAAACCTGTTTATAATGAATACCTATTTTGCTTTCTCAAGTCAGTGTTAACAAGACATGCTTAGACTTGTTTACACCTGCAGTGAATTCAATAAAACAGACACTTGTCGACATATGATAGATCATTTTGCAAGGATTTGATGTATTATGCACTCTAAAGTACATGCATAGTAAAATAATTTTATGTCAAAAGTTATAACAGATAAAACAAACTCACAAAAACCAATCTTTTTGACTATGATTGAAAATAAAGAAATTACCTTTCTGTGCCCAAAAAAAAGATTGAGAGCCTGGTGTTGATAAAATGTGTTTTGAAAGCTTGATAGACAATATAAGATGTATAAGAGAGATTTTGAAATATGCTAATTCTGTTCCTGCACAGCCATGTGTAAACAGGTTGATGGTTAGTATGTATACCTGATCCAGTAACTGGATCGCTACAGTGACCCTAGTTCTGACCTAGAATCTCAACACAAACTAACTATCCGGGTACATCCAAATGTCCTGATGTTTACTTCATATAATCAACAGCAGCATATAACATTTATATATATGTTATTTATTGCAGCTTTGTTACCTAAGACAATAGAAAGTGCAAGTTAATGACTCGGTATGGCCAAGCAGGTTCTCCCTAGGATTAAAGACATAGGACATTTCTCCAATAATTAATGACTCGGTATGGCCAAGCAGGTTCTCCCAAGGATTAAAGACATAGGGCATTTCTCCAATAATTGATGACTCGGTATGGCCAAGCAGGTTCTCCCCAGGATTAAAGACATAGGGCATTTCTCCAATAATTAATGACTCGGCATGGCCAAGCCGGTTCTCCCTAAGATTAAAGACATAGGACATTTTTCCAATAATTAATGACTCGGTATGGCCAAGAAGGTTCTCCCAAGGATTAAAGACATAGGGCATTTCTCCAATAATTGATGGCTCGGTATGGCCAAGCAGGTTCTCCCCAGGATTAAAGACAAGGGGCATTTCTCCAATAATTGATGACTCGGTATGGCCAAGCAGGTTCTCCCCAGGATGAAAGACATAGGACATTTCTCCAATAATTAATTACTCGGTATGGCCAAGCAGGTTCTCCCTAAGATTAAAGACATAGGACATTTTTCCAATAATTAATGACTCGGTATGGCCAAGCAGGTGCTCCCAAGGATTAAAGACATAGGGCATTTCTCCAATAATTGATGGCTCGGTATGGCCAAGCAGGTTCTCCCCAGGATTAAATACAAAGGGCATTTCTCCAATAATTAATGACTCGGCATGGCCAAGCCGGTTCTCCCTAAGATTAAAGACATAGGACATTTTTCCAATAATTAATGACTCGGTATGGCCAAGCAGGTTCTCCCTAGGATTAAAGACATAGGGCATTTCTCCAATAATACCATACACGTACTTGCAAACTTTTCAAATTTTTGTATATAAAAAAAACTCTCTTGACTGGTGATATCTAAAAAAAATAATAGCCAAAATCAAAATTTAGGAACTTTGATGATTTCAAAATAAATACTGGCTTGTTAATAGTGTCTAAGGTTGTTGGTGACCTACATATTTACCTGTATTTTACACCCAGACACCACTCGTGAATCAGGATATGCTATTTGGGCACCTGGGGCCATATTCATAAAACCATCTTCATACTTATTCTGTGCTCCAACTCGAATTCTGTGCCCAATACATTTTAAAAAAATCACAATTGTCCATGATTTCGAAGAATTTTTGATAGACTTGTAGCCAAATACTATTTTCATTATTAACACTGACTTTTTTACTCTGTTTAGTGATTAGAGCACATTTACAGAATCCATGCTTGGGCATGAGAAGGGTTTCATGAATATAGACCCAGGTTTTGCCTCTAGAATTTTTAGTTTTGTCTTTTTTTTTCATTACGACATGTTTCCATTTGATTTGATGTTTTCCTGGCCAGTGCTGTTGTCTTCTTGTATCAACTTTCCTATTTTGTGTTCATATGTTGATTCTGTAGTATAAATGTTCCTATTTTACCTCTGAAATTATTATATAACTGGCGCATTACATCAAACATATGTGTCATAACGATTTATGTTACTGTTACAGGAATGGTCTAAGATGACGTCATTCCACCATTACCCGTGGGTGGTTGCCATGGTGATGTGGCTGTGCGTCCTCGGTAACAATGCTGAGGAGAGCCCTCCCATGCATCACCTGGTGCTGTTAGAGAACCTTCCACCCGAGTTTAACCACACCTCCAACCCCGAAATCGTCATCCGTACCAACTACAGCGTAAGTCTTCCTACTTTTCTATACTTCCCGGAGTAAGACACGCCTACGTAAATATCATGGATTATAACATGTTGTGAACTTTTTCACCAGGTTATACACTGTAGCTATAGGCTATCACAGGTTATTACAAGTAAAAATTGTTTAACTGGTGTAATGTCAGTGTAGTAGGACCAGGAATAGTGATAAATATAGTGCTGTCGCTGGGACTCGAACCCGCAACCCTTGGCTCTCCAGCCCGATGCTCAACCGGTGAGCTATAGGGAAATTACCTACAGCTGAGGCTTGTAAGGCAACCTAATCATTTCAGGTACAACCTCCACCTTTATCAGACTAAATTAGAAATATCATAGGACAAATTTGAACTATGCACAAATGTTCACATTTAGGACATTTTGGATGTGTTGTTACAGTAACTATATGAGATATTCCACCTTCACCTTTGCCAGATGAGTTGTCCTAACTTGTGCTGAATCTTATTGCTGTAATTTAAGGCAATAAAATATGTTTAAATCAGATGAGTTTCAGAACTTGTCTGGCAGAAGAAATGAGTTGTAACACACACTCATACAAAGGTCAATTTGTCTTTTATGAATAAAAAATACAAATCTGATCTTTATTTAAATTGGACATTTCCAGCCATATTAATAGTAACTAAACATGTTTAAAGGAGAAGTAAAGTGGTTCATGTATTTCTTTGTGGTCCTTATGTATTTGTGTAGTTCCTGTATTTCTGTGTGGTCCTTATGTATGTGTGTAGTTCCTGTATTTCTGTGTGGTCCTTATGTATGTGTGTAGTTACTGAACCGTTTGTGGTGCTTATTGTATGCAGTTGAATGTAGTTAATCTGGAACATTTGTTCCTTAACTAAACACAGCTTTTGCAGATCATTTTAACTTTGTAAGAGAACACTTTGTAAATGAACTTAAGCAGGATAAATTAATTATTGTTGTTTATCGAGTGTTGAGCCACACACCTAAGTGTCACGGGTGATCATGATGTTATTGAACTATGCCTGATAACTTGACCAGCAACATTCTAAGGAAACATGACTGTTTGTTCACGATAAAACTCTGCCAGAAAGGACCACTAATATCTCTATTGAATTCTTCACTAGAATATAATTCAATTCTCACATATATTATTAGATAATTAAATTAAATTACAGTATGTTTCCAGGAGGTTGTAATAAGCCTTTCTCAAACATATACTCCATTATTTCTTGTTTGATTTTAAATCCAAAACCCATTTTAAACCCTGGTGACTCTTTCCAGTTACAAATTGTTCCTAAAGCTGCAGTTTGCCAGTACAACATGTAATATTAGAAAGCAAAGTTATTTCAGTCTGTGATTTGTAGACTGAAGACATGTTTACTAGGCAGAACTCCTGTACTGGGGGGTGCTATTTTAACTTTAACTATCTCTTTAGTGTAATCAGGGTTTCCGTGTGAATGAAATTTGTTTAAGCAGAAAGCAATTGCGATGTGGATGGGTATATTTATGACATCATGAATGTTTAAGGGAGGGTAAGTACTCTAAAAGTTCATAAAACTGAGAAAAAACTGAAACAGTTCTCACGGTTAAGGAGCTGTTTATGTTGAAAAATTTGTGTATCTAGACACTTTTGTTCCCCAAAAAAACATCTGTGTATCTGGACACTTTTGTTCCCCAAAAAAAACATTTGCGTATCTGGACACTTTTGTTCCCCAAAAAAACATTTGTGGAGAATTGTTTCTTTCATAAAGAGATTTTTTTCTTTTTCTTTTTCTTTTTCTTTTTCTTTTTACGAGTTTGCTGGATAAGCGGAGGCCATAATTGAGACTAACATTGTTTCAAAAAGGTTTGTTTCCATGGAGATGAATTGTAGAATGCCTTTATTTGGTAATATTTGCTTATGCTGAGCAAAGCCACTATACTAGACCTACCATAGGCAGCTGTGGTTTATGAGAGCTTATATAAACCTCATGTGATCATGGTGGCGTCATTACATAATGTTATAATCATCACGTTGGACATAGCAAAAACTGGCTGTAGACTATTAATTGTTGAAGATAGCGGGCGGATACTGGCTGTAAACTATTGTTGAAGATAGCGGGCGGATACTGGCTGTAGACTATTAATTGTTGAAGATAGAGGGCGGATACTGGCTGAACTAAAGGCTTTTCCATTAAAAATCAACTTTTTTCTAATGTTAAAAAGAACTAGGAAGTTTAAATATCATTTCATTGTCGAAGTCAGTGGAAAAGATCAATGAAATTACTGAACTACATTCTGTTCAGTGTTTTAGTCCTTCAATTCGTCACAGGATTATACGACTGTAAATCGGAACATAATTATATTGTTTATCATTAAGCATTCCTAATAGAGATATTAAAAAAACAAAAAGTACTCTAATGACAAAATTGAATTAAGCTAAATTAAATAAGGTTTATAGATTGATATTACTTGTTAAGGTCATGCAGGGTTTAACTGGAAGTCAGATGGAGAAACCTCTGGGATCTGTAGAAGGGTAATAGCTATATTGGTTGTCAGGCTAGCATCGTCAGTCAATATCTTTAATAATGGTATAAGTGAATTGATATGCATATATTTGAAATGACAATGTGAACAATGATCTTGGTGTAGTAGGTATGTCGAGCTATGTACCGTATTAAATAGAGATGGTAAAATTACATAAACACTAATTTATTTCATGGAAGCTTTTACAGTAGTTGGGCTGGCTTATTTCACTGGTAGACAGTAGTACAGGTCAAAACTATAGGTTACCCATGTTGAAATAATTGTTAGTGGAGCATGCCTTCATTATACTTACAAAAGAAGTATTTTTAATTTTGCTGGTAAACAGTTGTTTTTAGGTCACCTGAGACAAAGTCTCAAGTGACCTATTGTGATCGCCTTTTGTCCGTCGTCGTCCGTCGTGCGTCCGTAAACAATTTACATTTTTCGACTTCTTCTCCAAAACCCCTGAACCAATTTCAATGAAATTTTGCAGGGACCTTCCATTGACAAAGGTCAACAAAAATAGTTGCCGGTTTAGTCCCAAGCCCCCAGGGGACTGAGGGGCGGCGCCAAAAAGGGTAAAATTGACTAAAATTTCAAAAATCTTCTTCTCAAGACCCAGATATGGTAGAATCAAATACTCTTCATAGATGGAAGGGTCTTAAGATGCTTTACCAAAGTGTGAATTTCTTGACCCTGGGGTCTCACATTTCCCCCTGGGAAGGGGGTAAACTTTACTAAAGTTTATATAGGGAAATCACATTTTGTACCAACATTTGTTTAATTTCCACTGGAAGTAATTCAATTTGGGTTAGCATTATCAGTATTAGGTAGCCGTTTGATAATAAGCACATATGAGTCCTGAATGACCCCCAGGGGCTGATGGGTGGGGCCAAAAAGGGTTGAATTGACTGAAATTTCAAAGATCTTCTTCTCAAGACCCAGATATGGTAGAATCAAATACTCTTCTTAGATGGAAGGGTCTTAAGATGCTTTACCAAAATTGTGAATTTCTTAACTCTGGGGTCTCGCGTTTCCCCCTGGGGAGGGGGTAAACTTTACTATAGTTTATATAGGGAAATCAAATTTTGGACCAACATTTGTTTAATTTCCATTGGAAGTAATTCAATTTGGGTTCGCATTATCAGTATTAGGTAGCCGTTTGATAATAAGCACATATGAGCCCTGACTGGTCCCCAGGGGCTGATGGGTGGGGCCAAAAAGGGTTGAATTGACTGAAATTTCAAAAATCTTCTTCTCAAGACCCAGATATGGTAGAATCAAATACTCTTCATAGATGGAAGGGTCTTGAGGTTTATGACCCTAGGGTCTCACGTTTACACCCTGGGGAAGGAGGAGGTGGGGGGGCAACATTTATTATGGTTTATAATGGCAAATGATACTTTGAATATTACATGTTAATAACTTGATTGGAATTATAACCTTGAGTTGACAGTTTGATACCTTGAAAATTTTGAGCCAGCCCTACCCCCAAGGGCTGTAGGGTGGGGCCCAAAGGAGTCAGTGTGCTAAAATTTCTTCATATTCCTTGTTTAGAATCAGAGATGCTAGTTTCAAATACTTTTTAGTCTGAAATCTGTATGCTAGATATTGAATAAGTTGGTTTTATTGTTTTTTGTCACTTAGGATGATATTTCTGTTCATGTTAAAAACAAAATCAACTCTCTGTATAAATATATCAGGTGACCGTTAAGGCCCATGGGCCTCTTGTTAGTTCTCCAGTTGTTCTATCAGAGGGAATATAGATTTGCACTCACCTGTCAGTCTTACCATGAGTCACATTGTCTGGGGAACTAATCTCCTACAATCAGTCACCTACAATTGACAAATATACTGTATGTATACCTCTTGGGATGGTGGAGTGTGGCTAGTGAAATAGGGTCTAGTGCCTGACTTTATTCAGAGTTATTGCCCTTTCTTCACATCGTGTCACTTTGTCACATGAACATATCATGTATTGTACTCTGATTTCTACAATTGCTAAGTTTTGTATGTGAGTACCTCATGGGGTGAGGTAATGTCACATCTGATATTTGATCTATTGCCCCACATTATAAAGAATTATAAAATGGCCTTTTTTCATGTCTAGATTTTGTCCAATTTCTACCTACGTATGTGGCACCCTGTTAGATTTGTCAATTTATTTTAATTCTTTATATTCCTAAGATTCAGTTGAAATATACTGAGTCTAATTAGTATTAATTTGTGTCGTTGATTTTAATCCGTAATCAGCACTCCATATTCGCTGTCGCTGTCGCCTAGTCTCGTGTGTTACTTTCATTTTGAATGGAATGTATGTGAGTGTGACGTAATTGTGAATGTTATTGTATACCTGTTTGACCAGTGACAAACTGACATCTGACACCTGTCGCATTGCGCGATATTTCCCGCGTTAATGTTTTCTTTGCTTCTCTATCCTTTCTTTTCTTTTCACTTCCTATCTGCTCCTCGTAGAGGCAACATCGCCATATAGATATATACCTC